TAAATGCAAATGCATTTGTCTTTGTTCTTTAAAGACGAAAAAAATTTAGATACCAAACAAAATACAAGCCACAAGAATACAAGAGATGCTTTACACAAAATTGATTTCAATCTTCTACGTTGTTTAGTGAATGTAAAGACAAATTTACTTCCCCTATTTCAGATCTCTATTAATGCTAGTAAGTCCAATTTCATGGTATCCCCAATTCTTCTATCAAAACGCATTCCTTTTTCCCTCTGATAAATGGTTGAACTACACAACTCCATGCAAGTTGCAACAAGAGCACCAGAGATAGCATTGATGTGATATTAATGGATTAATACCAGACACACAGAGGACTGAATACAAATGTTATGGAAGCTATACAATAGGAAGTAACTTAACAATGTGAAAGGCAAGTTTAGAGAATGCTTTAGGACTAACAACATTACATGGGAGTAAACATTAGACCTCAAAGGCCTAATGTATTCACATGAGTATTGTAGAATAATGTCGTTTGAGATGGTTAACCATATCTTATGTGGATCTCCAAATGCTCCGAAGTCTAACCCATAGTTGTGACCCTATGAGGATGGAAGGAGATAAAAGAACACAAGGTAGACATAACATCATATGGGCCAGTTATTTCAAAAGACGCACAATCTCTTAGAATCAATGCAGACTTAACTAAGAAATAGAACACATTAGCGAAATCTTTATTGGTGATACCACTTAGTTGGGTTAAAATGTTAGGTTTTTGTTTTTACAACTTAGTTGGGTTAAAATGCTACGTTTTTGTTGTTACACTTACATTGCATTCAATGTTTGCTAGGAGTCATTAGGTCTGACTAGAGACTTTTAAGTTAGTATGTACAGCTAGTTCTAGAAAAATCCCACTTTATCTCAAAGAAAAATCATTTAATACTGGAGTGAAATGGGCTTGAATAGAGCTCAATGGATACAGAGGAATCATACTATCGATCCCGTCACTCAGCATCAGTATTAAAACCACATGTGTAGATCTTGTCACAAGGCGATTCGCTATGAAGTCTGTGTTAAACAAGTCCTCTCCCATGATTCTATTTCGTGAGCGACCTATTCTGATACAATAGTAAAGCTCGTCAAAAGGGACTTGTAACCTTAGGACTCGTTACATAGAGTCCCAGACCTCTTGTTTTTGGTATAAATCCTTCTCCTCCTTTTGATTCAGTCTCTTTAAATATGAGACCCTTATTACAAGGCTATTAAGGAAAACTAGGAATCTACAAACACAGGAAATCTAGTAAAATTGAACTACTGCCTATTTTAATGCCCACAAAAGCCTGCCGGTTACATTAGATCTGCTTATCCTCTCTAACATTGATATCTTCCTCAACTTGAGGCACCGCCTTGCGTAAACCTTATCCACGAATGAATCTGTCACAATCTGCTACAAAGTTATTTTTCTGCCTATAATAATGTCAAAGGAAGCAAACATTTTGGTAGGATTTTGGGACTGGAGTTCTCTAAAACCAACTTTTGCTTGCAGTGTGCTTGAGTCAGGTATATCTTTGGAAGATCGACTGATACGTGATCTAAACCAAGCAGTCTTTCTAGGACTTCCAATGCCATCTTTTACAGATTTTTCCAGCTGGCTTTAAGTATCAGATGTATTCCGAGAGGAACAGTGTAACGTTTCAGCCAACTTACCAAACAGGGTTCAGTGATTTATATAATGATTACGCATTATCCATAGTTAACCAAGTGGCAAGTTAGGATTTGGGAAGTGAATAGTAATGGTCAGAACCTGTCTGAAGAGTGAAGATAAAGGAGGGCAAGGACAGTTTGGGCCAAATTTGCTATGTTTAGGGCTATGATGATATTTACTATAAGGATCTTGAAATACGGGGTTGAGTGGTCATTGTACTTCCAAACCCCATGAACCTTGTCGTCCTTTTGCGCTTTACAACAACAACAATAATCCAGTGGAATCCCACAAGGAGTTTGGGAGGGTAATGTATACGCAGACCTTATCCCCACTCTGGGGGTAGAGAGGCTGTTTCCAAAAAACCCTCGGCTCAAGAGGAAGAATACAAACATGCAAATATCAACAAGAAGCCAGGAAAATGCAACCAATAATGTATGGACCTGAAAAACAGGTGGAAGAAAGCAATAGCAACAACAAAAGCAATAGTCAAGCAGTAACAACGACAAGGTACTAGAAAACCTAGGCGGAAGATAGCACTTAAAACCACCCTAACACTAGCCATCTAAGAAACAATGACAGGTACTAGCCGGCTAGCCCTAACAAACCCAAAACAGTACAGAAAAATACACTACGACCTATTACCCTTCCTCTCTAATCTTCGACCTCCAAACCCTCCTATCAAAGGTCATGTCCTCGGTAAGCTGCAGTCGCGCCATGTCCTGCCTGATCACTTCTCCCCAATACTTCTTAGATCGCCCTCTACCTCTTCTCCTACCTGCCAATGCCAACCATTCACACCTTCTCACTAGAGCATCTGGACTTCTCCGTCTCACATGCCCGAACCACCTAAGCCTCGCTTCCCGCATCTTATCCTCCATGGGCGCCACACCCACTTTCTCCTGAATATCCTCATTGCTAATCTTATCCAACCTAGTATTCCCGCACATCCATCGCAACATCTTCATTTCTGCTACGTTCATTTTTTGGACATGGGAGTTCTTCATTAGCCTGCATTAGCCCTATACAATATTGACGGTCTAACCACCGCCTTGTAGAACTGATCTTTAAGTTTTGGTGGCACCTGCTTATCACCCAGGACGCTGGATGCTAACCTCCATTCATCCACCCCGCCCCTATACGGTGTGTGACATCCTCGTCAATCTCCTCGTTCCCTTGGATAACTGACTCAAGATACTTGAAACTTCTTCTCTTAGGGATGACTTGCGAACCAAGTCTCACATCTATCCGCTCCCCTCGTCTCGTCGTTGAACTTGCACTCTAAGTAGTTTGTCCTAATTCTGCTCAACTTGAAACCTTTAGACTCTAAGGTTTGTCTCCAAACCTCTAACTTTTCGTTGACACCACCTCGCGTCTCATCAATCGGCACTATATCGTCAGCGAATAACATACACAAGGCACCTCCCCTTGAATATGTTGCGTCAGTGTATCCATCGCCAAAGCAAATAAGAACGGGCTGAGCGCAGATCCTTGGTGTAACCCCATCCCTACCGAAAAATGTTCCGAGTGGCCTCCCACTGTCCTCACCCGAGTCTTAGCTCCATCATACATGTCCTTAATCACTCTAATGTAAGCGACAGGAACACCTCTATCCTCCAAGCATCTCCAAAGGACCTCCTTAGGACCATGTTGTACGCTTTCTCTAGGTCAATAAACATCATATGCAGATCCCTCTCCCTATACCTGTACTGTTCTACCAACCTCCTAACTAGATGGATGACTTTCGTAGTCGAACGTCCCGGCATGAAACCGAATTGGTTCTCGGGAATAGACACAGTCTTCCTCACCCTCGCTTCCACCACCCTCTCCCAAACCTTCATAGTATGACTAAGCAATTTGATGCCCTATAATTGTTAAAATTTTGGATATCACCTTTGTTCTTGTACAACGTAACCATCCTATTCCACCGCCACTCCTCGCGCATCTTCTTCGTCCTAAAAATAACATTAAACAGCCCAATCAGCCATTCCAAGCCAGCCCTACCCGCGAACCACCAGAATTCAAGCATCCCTACCCGCGAACCTCCAGAATTCAACTGGGATCTCGTCTGGCCCGATCGCTCTGCCCCTGCTCATCTTACGCACAACCCTCGCGACCTCTTCGAAACTAAAGCGCCTACAATACCTAAAATCACGACGACTCTCGCAGTGCTCCAAATCGTCCAACACAATATCCCTATCCCCCTTTTGCACTTTTCGCTTTTAAAAATTACTGCTCCTTCAGCAGCATCAAGTGTTCAAGTTAAAATCTAAAACTGATGCCAGCCAATACCAACAAGTGCTTCAATCATCTCATCTACTAATAACAATATTTCATAAAGGTTTTGGCCTCGCACAGTTTCCTTTATAGATAGCAAAAAAAGTACCTTAAGGATCAAAACATCGTATTTGAACAAAGTTTTTTGGCAATGCCACGGCAGTATGTAGAAAGTAGAGCAGAACTTATTCCTTAACTTTTTAATAGTTTAAATTTCAACCTAACTTGCTACAGAAACCATGTAACTTCTAAATTATTTGATGTTACCAGCAGTATATGTACTTAAGGATTTACAAATAAACAGAAATGCGTACGCTTATTTGAGTGGTAGTTCACAAGTATAAGAAGGTATGTATTACATGCAAGATAACTAATTTTGAACAGTATTATTTTTTGTGTGAGATTGATTGGTTCCAAGGAGTAGAAAGAAAGGGAAGAAAAAAAAGTGTTTGTAATCCCTTTCCTTCACCATTTTTCCTTTTTCTTTTTGGTCCTAACTAATAGACTCTCAAGTTTGTTAGGGAAATAACATGAAAATTAGTACAATATGTGATGGAATCAGCCACTGACGCTTGTGTCACAGTAAGCTGCCTATATTACACTGCCTTGGGTTGTGGTCCTTCCTTGAACCATGTGTGAACGTGGAATATTTCGTAAACCGGGCTGCCTTTTTTTGTTGTTGTGATAACCGTGGTGTCCAGCCTGCCCTTTTTAATAGTTGCGGTCAAAGGTTATCAATATTGTCACACTCAAAACAGTATCACAAGTTGTGGCTGAGCCACATAGCTCAAAGGTTGACACCCCTTCACCGGAAAATTACACTGTTTAAATAGGTAAAAATTATTTTCTGTCTATATAATATGTATCGACTTCCCTTGACTTATTCTTGTATTTAAATATTTAAATTTTGACACCCTCTTAATAAAGATCCTGGCTGTCCACTGCTGATCACAAGTAGCATACAACAATGAAATGACAAGCAAGAACTACGACAGTTATTTAACAATAGAAGTTCCATATAAAGATGCAGAAAAGCAATAGTAGTAAGAGCATATCAAACCTCAGTGCCATCAGGACGCACTCTAGCCAACACAGGTATTTCATATTGGTAAGCCTTCTCCCACTCAGGATTGCTAGTTATATCTCTAACCTGCCCAAAACCCATTAAATTAAACTTCAAAAAGACAATGCTTAGAAATTCAAAAGGCTTAGTTGAACCTGTAATTGAACGTCATGGAGAGAATGGGAAGTGGAAAGAGAGAAAGCTGCATTGAGTTTTTCTTTGAGGCCATCACACAAACAGCAACCGGGCTTCGAATACAGTATTAGCTTTCTTGAATTTGAAGAAGAAGATGAAAAGGCCAAGGGGCTAAAGACCCATTTGGTTTTTTGGCAATTGAGGATTTTCGTACCAAGTGCTTGCGGTCTTACAGCAGTCAATCCAATTGCAAGTCCAGCTGCCATTGCGGCTTTGCTTCTCCTTTGTCTTCCTACCCCTAAGCCAAAATGTTGTGAATTTTGCGTCCTCTTTGCATTTTGCACCCTAAACTTTACTGACCTTTGCAATCAACCCCCGATCGTCTCCTTTTTTTGGCAATTTGGCACATAGTTTATGACGTAACTCAAAAGACCAAGTTCGCTTCTCCTAGATAACGTATTGTTAGGCGTAGTTTGGTACGAGGAATAAGGTGGAATTGACATAAATTTATACCTTCAATCAAATAATGTATAAATTTAATCCCAAACTTAATCAAGGGTATCTCATCTTATCCCATCAAATGTGAGTTTATTTTATCCGATCTCTCATGTGGTATAAATTAGTCCTCGGATTATAATCCCAAGATTATATTCCGGGATAATTTAGTCGGGGTACCAAACGACCCCTTTTGTATTTGGTTGAATTTTTTAATTAGAGATTAGTAATCCTGGAATTAATATATCCCACATTGAGGGTGAGATAATCATTAGGGAATTACTTAATTTTAAAATTGTCATAAATAGTATTGTATTTAAGGTGAATGTCTATCATTGAGAGAGATTTTAGAGGTTGTTACTTTGTAACTAATAATATGTTTGGCCAAGCTTTTTTCTTTTTTTTTTTGGCCAAAAGTGCTTTTCTTAGTTAAAAGTGTTTTTTGCCAAAATTAAGGTGTTTGCTTTTGGAGGAAAAAAAATTACTTTTGAGTTGAAGCAGAAGCAGTTTTGGAGAAGCAGAAAAAATAGTTTCTCTCTAAAAGCACTTTTTGAAATGCATTTTTGAAAAAAATACCCTTAGAAACACTTTTTAAATGCTTGGCCAAACATTAATTATTGCTCTAAAATACTTTTCAAATAAATTAGCCACATACAAACACCAAAAGTACTTTTTATGGAAAGCGCTTTTGAGAAAATGCTTTTCAAAATAAGCAGATTTTAGAAGCCTGGCCAAACATGCTATAAATCACTTTTCCCCTATAAATGAGGGGTTCTTTCCATTGTAATTTATCTCAAAATCAATAAGAATTCTCTCTCTTTTCTTTACAATCTTTTATTGTTATATCTCACGCTATCAGCACGAGACTCTACTGTCTCAAAAAGCTCTTTGAGAATACTAACGTATAATTTTTCTCCTCTTTTAACTATGAGTGATATTATGAAACGAATGTTCGTTGCCCTTAAAATTTTAGGCAAGAACGATATGTCATGGGTGTTGGATGTTGAAATCCATTTAGATGCAGTGGGTCTTGGAGACACCATTAAAGATAAAAATAAAGCATGTACCCAAGACTGTGGTAAGACGTTGATTTTATGGCGCCATCGCCTTGATGAAGGGTTGAAAGTAGAATCTCAAAAATCTACTTATTTTGTCGAATGACTTAAAGAAAAGATATGACAACCTAAAGTTGGTTACACTTCCACAAGCACGACATGATTGGGCTCTTCTGAGGCTCCAAGACTTTTAGCCTGTTTCTAAATACAATCTAGTGATGTTCAAAATTACTTCTCAAATGAAACTTTATGGAGATAATATCACTGACTATGACATGCTTGAAAAACGTTCACACATTTCATGCCTTGCAACAACAATATCGAGAGAAAGGTTTCAAGAAGTACTCTGAGTTGACTTCTCCTCTCCTTGTGGCTGACGAAACAATGAGTTGCTCGTGAGAAATCATGATAATCGACCCACTAGTTTATTCAATTGCCCAAAGTGAATGAGGTGTATTCCCATTATTCTAAGCATTAAAAAGGTCGTGGCCCTGTTCGTAGTCGTGATCAAGGAAGAATTTTTCCCGGTGTTAATCATGCCCCAAAGAAAAATAACCACCAAAAGTGGAAAGGGAAAGATGAGAAGCTAACAACAAAGGATTCAGAAACTAGGTGTTATCGTTGCAGTGGAAAAGGTATTGGGCAAATAATTGTCGTACAACAAGATATTTGGTTAAGCTTTATCAAGCATCTCTAAAGAATAAAGGTCTGAAGCTAGTTTTGTCTCTAACGATGCATTTGACATCACCCATTTGGTTGTGACAGACTTCTTTGAGCACCCTGATGAAAAAATAAATCACTTGATGGGTGATGGATCCGTGGTTAAAGATGATTAAGTAGATTGGTTTTTTTTATCTATTCATAGTAGCTAATGAATAAACATCATGCAATCATAATTCTTTACATGAGTAGTAGTCATTAGTACCAATTATTATTATTATTTATTTTATGAAATAGTGTTAGTTCGTTTTGATTAAATACAATTCTAGTATTCGTTTTAAACAATGTTTCAGCCTTTGAAAATCAAATTGAAACAATCAAACGAAGAGACCGTCAAAAGCTGTCACGACCCTAAACCCAGACCCGGTCGTGATGGCACCTCTCGTAAAAACAAGGCTAGCCGACACATTCCCAATTCATTTTTAAACAATTAAATAATAGAACTAAGTCTTAATCATAATAATAAATCCCAAAGTAAGGTAAATAATATAGTTTGCGGAAAAAGACATCGCCCGACATCGGGGTGTCACCAGTCATGAGCATCTATCATAAACACTACAAGTGTGAAAGAGTCTACACCACTATTACATAGCTAAAAACAGGAAAAAATAAGATAGAGGAAGAAGCACTGGGCTACGAACGCTGGGCAGCTACCTAGTGAATCTCCAGGATATGCTGGAAAGCTCTTAACCCTCGCAAGCAGGACATGATGCGACTGAATCTGCACACACGGTACAGGGAGTAAAGTAAGTACTCCAACTCAGTGAGTAATAATAATAAATGCAGACTGAGTAATAAGAAACCACATAAAGCCACATCAACAGACTATAAAGAAGCAGTAAAAGCCAGTAAAAACAATGAAATAGTGGAAAATAGGTAAAGTCACTTTAGTTTAGTTAAAAACTTCTTTGGAATGCCTTTTTAACAGTTAAGCAAGTAAATGACAAGCAACTAGGAAAGATAAACACATAAAGAACCGCCCCTCGGGCACAATACCAACAGAATCAGCCCCTCGGGCAACACATGGAACAATACCAGCCCCTCGAGCTATCTTTCACACCACAATGTGTACCCGCGCTTACTGGGTGTGTGCAGACTCCTAGAGGGGCCCATACGGCCCAAGCGCAATATCAAGCCATCTCGTGACATAATCACATAGGTTATCAGCCTCATATCAACAAGCCACCTCGTGGCGTACAAATCTCAGGCCCTCGCCCTCATAATCATAATCAGTGTTTCTTCACAACATAGGCCCTCGGCCTTACTCAGTCAGAATCTCGCAAGCCACTCGAGCAACAGTAAAACATGATGCTCAGCCCAAAATATCATTTAAAATATCAAAACAGAGTAAACATGGCTGTGTTATGAAAACAGTAGAATATAGCATGACTGAATACAAGTATAAAGTCAAAATAGTGAGAAAATATCAGTAAAAATCACCTAAGGGTTAAATAGTTGGCACGAGACCCAAATATGGCATTTAGCCCAAAACATGATGATGCAAATAGTTTTCAGTCAAATACGCAGAAAAATAATCATTCGGGATGGACTAAGTCACAATCCCCAACAGTGCACGACCCCACGCTCGTCATCTAGCGTGTGTGTCACCTCAATATAGCACAACAATGTGCAATCCGGGGTTTCATACCCTCAGGACAACATTTACAATCATTACTCACCTCTACCCGGTCCAAATCTCGAGCTCGTGATGCCTTTGCCCCTCGAATCGGCCTCCGGATGCTCCAAATCTAACCAAAAGCAGTGCAAAACCATAAAAATATGCTAAGGGAACAAAGCCCACTCGAAAGAAATCAAATTGCAACACAAATCCCGAAATTGGCCAAACTCGACCCCCGGGCCTACGTCTCGGATTCTGATAAAAATTACATCAATGGACTCATTATCACTCCCCGGGTTCATTCATACCAAAAGCATCAAAATCCAACCACAAACGACCCCTCAGATCCTAAATTCTAGGTCTCCAATTACAGGCCCTAGTTCTTCCAAATTTTAACCCTTAATTTCCATAAATTACAAGACTAATCCGTGAAATAATACCATAGAAACGAGTTTTAGGTCCAAAATCCTTAGCTCAATGAAACCCCCTTGAAATCCTTCTTCAAATCGCCCAAACAAAACTCCAAAAACCGACTTAGAAATGGTGGAATAACCCAAAAGTCGCGAAGGAAATAATTTATATGTTCTGCCCTAGCTAAACCTTTTCTACGGTCCCAAACTCGCACCTGCGGACCCACACCTGCGGTCCCAGGTGCGCTTCTGCGCAAATCACTTAAGTGGCCAAAATCCGCATCTGCGATGCACTACCCGCACCTGCGTCATCGCAGGTGTGGTTCCTTAACCGCTTCTACAGTTCCTGCCCTCCTTGCCTTCTTCCGCTTCTACGACCCTTTTCTTCCCATCTGTCGTGTCGCACCTGCGGTCCCCAATCCGCAGGTACGGAAACAACAGAACCAGAAAAATCTGCAACTTCACCAAATTCCCAAACTCTCCATCAACCATCCAAAATCACCCTGAGGCCCCCGGGACCTCAACCAAAAGCATAGACAAGTCACATACCACCATTCAAACTTATACCAATCTTCAAAACACCTCAAACAACATCGAATCAACCAAAACACATCAGATTCAAGCCTAAGTTTCCAAAATCTTCTAAATTATGCTTTTGATCAAAAAGTATACCAAACCACGTCCGAATGACATGAAATTTTGCACACACATCCCAAATGACACAACGGAACGACTGCAGCTCCCTGAATTCCATTACAACCCCTATATTAAAATCTCACCTATCAACCGAAAAATGCTAAAATACCAATTTCGCCAATTCAAGCCTAAATCTACTCCGGACCTCCAAAACACATTCCGATCACGCTCCTAAGTCCTAAATCACCTTTCGAAGCTATCCAAACCACCGAGACTCACATCCGATCCCTCTAACACATAAGTCAACATCCGGTTGACTTTTTCCTGCTTAAACTTCCTCAAAAGATACTAAGTGTCTCAAACCTTACCAAAAACCTTTCCGAACCCG